CTGTCATCCTCCAGATATCATTCGGCTCTCAGCCAGTGCCAGTTAACTCTCTCCATTCCCAGCTTCTGTTCTGCTGGTCACCTTATTAAGGGGTTTCTGACTGCCATACTCAACATGGTCGCTTCAAATACAGACTTTCTATACCATGCATGAGCTCTGCTCATGACTTGTCCCCTCCCCAACCCAAACACCATGGCCCTGCTCATTCTATAACAGCAGGGCTTACAATGGCAAAAAAACAAAAACAAAAACAAAACAAAAAAATGGGATATTATTCAATGAATAAAAATGATGCAGTAGCAGACGACGTAATAACAAGATTGACACTCATCATACAGTGAGGAGAAAAGCAACATCGGTTTTCTTAATTGAATACAATAAGCACTGTTAGTAACAAATCTCTAGTTTGTAAGTTATATGGTTGATTTCCCTATTTATTTTCTGCTAGTCTCTAATTTATAACTTTTAATATGAGTATGGTATTTATCTGGGAAAATAACACTAGAAATAAAACAAATTAAAAATGGCATGTTAAAAAAGTTATAGGTGTTGTACACCAAGTCTGCTTGTACTCCAGGAGCCTGTGCCTGCTCTACCTGCAAAGATGAATTTGCCCAGAGCGATTTGCCTCTAAGTGGTGCAAAGTTCTGATTTTGCAGAAGCCAGGACCGGAGAGGGCATTTGCCACCTCAGCTGTGGCAGTGCCCTAGAAACAGGTACAGCTGACAGCTCTGCATGAGGTCCCGGATGGATGGTTTTCAAACTTTCAGTACCCACCCAGGAAATCTTATTTCCCAAACACTCCCATTCACTGTTACACACACCTGGGTTCCCTAAGGCCTGACCATCCTTTGATATAGAAAGTTTTCTTCACCATATCCATCTACAAACTCTTTCAAATCCCAGACTACCCTTTAGTTCTTTCTGATCTCCAACACCTCAGATTAAGTCTTCCTTCACCTAGAGCCCCGTAGTATTTTACCTATATACTCTATTATATCAGTTTGTAACACTATATTCAAGCTGGGCTACAGATACTATTTAAACAAATCCTGCAGATAGGATAGAAAACCCTCACCCTAGCCATGAACATTTCCAACTTGCTGTTTGTAGCTGCTGACACATGCAAGAATTAAGGCATTTGAGAAGTGGCAACTGAAAGGTGATAGTGATCAGAGCTCAGACAATGTAATGTCTATTGCAATGGCTGGTGTAAGGGGGAGCTGGGAGTCCCCATGGGGTGGGGAACACCTAAAAGAAGTTTGGCTCTATTAGACTCAGCCGCAAGGTGTAGGAAGAAAGGAGCATGGTAGTTTACAGTAGAGAAAAATGATCATTACTTGCAATCATTAAAGCTCATGCAATCTTTTGGTACAATACATTCGGGGGGGGGGCGGAAAGCTGTATTTCCAAACAAAAACCATTAGTCCAGTGTGGGGGACAACCTGGAAGACTTTCCTTGATCAAAGAGCAATTAACTCCCCTCTGGCTATACCTGGCCCTCTCTCCACGTACTGTTACATACAGAGCTGGCTAGGCCATTTCTTTACCCCTTCAACTGGCTCTAAGCAATGTCAATAGGGCTGGCTGAAATGCCTATGCTTAATCTTTGAAACTAGGTGACAGTTGCTCTTGCCCTATCTGTGACTCCCCAAAATCATGTTTGAGGCAGGCAGGATGAAGAGCCTCCTCTGCTGTCAACTGGGATGGAGCCTTGAGATAAGAGGCTATGACTTCTGAGGGAATAAAATTTACATATCAGAACTGAAGCACCACCCTAAAACAACAGATAGTGCCTCAACTGTGTTATGCAGATTACTCTTGCTGCATATCCTTCCCTCTGCATATTGCAGAAGTGATCTCAGGCCATGTGTCTATCTCAGCTCTTAGCATTCACATACTTCCCACCTTTCCACAGTCACTCATCCGTGAGCCACTCCAGTCTTCATGAGTTAATAAAATCTAGGTTGGATCCTAAATTCAGCCAAGATGGTGGTTCACTGGAACAAAGGCCTCACCCCAGGGCCCAACTCGGGTTTTAATACCTCATGAAACTAGATGATAGTCACTGTTTCCCCATCCCATGACTCTGTATTTTGTGCCCTGGGAAGTCATAATCTCTTATCTTGAGGCTTCGATCTCAGTTGACAGTATGGAATGTCACTGCTCTTCATCTTGCCTAGCTTGACCATGTTTTTTGGGAGTCATGGGGTGGGGAAACAGCAGCTATTATCTAGCTTCAAAGATTATGCATAGGCACATCAGCCAGCCCTATTTACATTGTTTAAAGCCAACTGAAGGGATAAAGAAACGGCCTACCCAGCTCTGCACATATTAGTACACGGAGACAGGACCAGGTTTAGCCACAGTGGAGATAACTGCTCTTTATTTCAAGGAGAGTCTTTCAGGTGGTCCTCCACATTTCAGGACTTCTCTAGAACTCACTGGAAGGAAGTCAGTATTCCAGCTGGCAAAAGAAAGGTAGTCCATCTAAAGCATCAGCAAAATGTCAGCTCATGTCACAAAGACAAGTAACCTGGGATTGCGGATTGACAGAGTTTAGTGCACAGACTCTTGCAGGTGGGTGGAGGCAGCACCTTAATTTTGCACACAAGAATGATGACAGAAAAACAGAAGCAGTGGGACACTGAATGATCTGAACCAAATAATCAGAACACTGCTGATACTGATACATATAATCTGATACTGCGTTCTAGAACAGGAGCAGGAACAAGATGGGAGAGGAAGAAGAGACGGAGGGCTAATCATTAATAGTTCGAGACTCAGCTAACAGACTTGAGATGGAAATGGTAGGGTGCACTCTTTGTACCCACAGGCGGGTGAGAGCGGAGGATCTTTAAACTGGATGATTCTATTATTGTCATTTGTTCACATGAATAGAAATTAATATTATTTGGCACGATGTATGTCTGTTAAATTAGCATAACTCAGATCTATGTGTGAGAAAATATTTCCATGAAGATTCAATTTACATGAAATAATGCACTTAGGAATTGTGGCAAGATGATCACTTGAAACTGAGGTGTTTTCACTGGTGATAGGAAGTAAAAAAAGATATCCTGGTCCAGTATATTTTCTATTTAAAATTTAGAAAAGGAAAAGCTCCATAAAGATAAAATTTTGTAGGTTGGCTTTAAGATGGTGAGGATAGCATAAGAGTATCCATATAGCCAAGCATTTTGTATCTTCTAGCTTCGTCTAAAGTCAAAACTGCTGCAGGATGATGGATAGCTATGCATGCCAAATTTGGATGGAGCACAGCATATCTTTCACCACATTTTGTAAAAGGAGACAAATTTTCTAAATCCTGCTCAACATCAATTCTTACCCTATTTCTTTCACTCTAAATATACCATATGTAGTGGCATCATATTTATATTATACTTAGAATCAAATTTACACATTAAGATTTATATGTTAATGTGTTTAAGTTTCATGGGATAAATAAGAATGTCCTATGGGCTCAAAATTTATATAATTTATTTTACTACTATGCACACTAAAATGAGTTTTAGAGACATAAGTTGAAAGCTTGCATAAAAACTAAGTGCATGAATCATTTACATTCATAAAGATTTTGATTAGATTGGGGTATTGGTAGAGCTAATTAAACAAGATATTAATTATCGCCCCCACCCCAGTTTGGGCAGAAAGAAGTTTAAGGAGGACCTTCAAAAAGAAGCAGTTATGAAAAATATTCTAGAGCTTTCTTTCCAAGACTGACTTCTTCTTTTATGTCTTTTATTTTGATTCTCAAAGTTGTCATCGCTGCTGAATTTCAGGAAAATTCCCCTTTAAAAATCCAACTCATCAGTAACAAAAGTAAATGTCATTAGCTTATTCTAAAAATATATATATGTGCATTTTTAAAAAATAGAACTTTTCACTTGAACAGAAAGTTTACATTGACATAAAAAATATAGAATCATCAAACACAATCTTGCAGTTTAAAGGAGTCTAGAAATATGGTAGAGGGTTTAGAGATTCCCAAGTCACCTTAGTTTAAAACAAAAACATTTGGCTCTGGACAACAGATGTAACATAGAGTACTTTTTCCTTAACAGGGGCCCCCGACTGTCACCTTCTCTGTCACTTGTGTTGTGTTAAGTACAATAGTCATGTCTACTCAGTGAAAAATGCAAAATGAGACACTTAGATTTCCTTGTAATCTCCAAGTTAGTCTAGCTTTCAATTTGAGGAGCGAAGTGATGAGCAGAGGGTTGATTCTTGGCCCACAAAAGAGTCACTGGCTCTGCTCATCATCCCTGTCACTCTGAAAGCTTCCACCCACCCTGTTGGAAAGTGATCTTACAACATCTACCCATTTCTAATGCACAGCACGACAAAATTTTAGTTACACAATATTTACTTAAATATTGTAAATTAAACACATATTATCACATGATATTAAATAAGTTAAAGGAATTTATAATTGAATAAATAAAACATTCAGTTAATAAAACACGTCTTAAGGCAATTTCCATTTAATTTCAACTGATCGCTTTGGAGGAATACGACCCTATCATGGTTTTATTTGTGTGATCTTTGAGTTTTCATACTCTACAATTAAATTCCTATAATTCTCTAGGACACAACTATAATATTCAAAGTATAACAAAGATATATGAAATATCATTTTATTTATGTAAACAAAGATTTAAGAGATCGCACAAAAACATAAATCTACAATAATTTAATTAGGTAAAATTTTTGCTAGGGTAAATACTAAATTTTGCTATTAAATATTTAATAGTTTTATTAAATTATCAGAAGTACCAAAAGGCAGTGAAGAAATAAGAATAACTATCAAAATAGGTTTTAAAAAGCTATGTTTAGATAGCTTCATTGTCAATCTTCCATCAGCAATCTTATCCGTAAGAGAAGATACAATGTTATTAAACACATCATCAGATAGCAGAGGGACAAAAAAAGAAAGACTTACAAAACTTTTTAAAAAGTTGTTTTTAAAAAATACTTACTCACTTCCCTCCCTCTAAGAGGATACATCCTGAGCTTTTCAATAATGTCAACCACGATCAAGGAGAGCATAACCAGAGACACAGGGAAGTCTGGGAGGGAGTCAGGTAATAAAACAGCAGACTCATTGCTCTTCCTTTGCACCTGTTTTTAGAAAACCATTCAGACTCATTAAATTCTTGTGCTTACTTCACTCAAAATTGTTTTCAATCTTGTGCAAGCAGTGCTAAGTTAATTATAAGTACATTAACTAAAAAATTAAAAGCTTGATGTTTCAGCTTCTCAGGTTATAAATGTCACAAGATAATGAACTGTTTCTTAAGATGCAATAAGGATTCATTTAAGAGGAAGAGTTTTCAATTAAAGATGGGGTTTAGTAAATTCATGTAAAAATATAATAGTAGGCTCTTGGTGATCCTGGAATGGCTAATTCCTTTCACCTGTTAAACCAAGTTTTGATGAGTCCAACCTCCAAGAGAAATAAATAATAGCGTCTAGGGTTTTCAAGGAGGGAGAGCTCTGATTATACTAGGTGTGTTTTCCTCCTTCATGTGCGTATGGTGCAGAAAATTTAGGGCAAGTATCATGTTAATGGGGAAATACCAAAAATTTTTTTTCTGAGATTAGGAGTAAGATAAAGATGCCACTAGAATCATTTCAATTCGGTATTTTACTGGTGGTTTTAGCTGGTGTAAGGTGTCATGAAAATAAATAAGCAGTATAAGAATTAAAAAGAAAGAAAAACAAAGCATGGCTATTCATAAACTGCATGATTATATATGGATAAAATCTCCCAAAATAGATAAATTATGCATAAATGCCAATGACAAAAATTTAGAAGGTAAGATTTTTAAAAAATGAAACCATTCAATCAACTTTTTCTTTTTCTCTCTCTCTTTTTTGAGGTGAGGTCCTGGGAATTGAACCCAATGAATCACATAAGCTCTTTTTAATTTTTTTTTTAATTTTGAGAGAAGGTTTTTGCCTATTTCATTAAGTTGCCCATTTTAGGCTTGAATTTAGGATTCTCTTGCCTCAGGCTCCCAGAGTGGTGGGTTTACAAGTTTGTGCCAACACATCCAGCCACATTTCAACTTTTTGTGGAACATGATGAGCAGATTATAAAATGTACGTGAAATTGAAAAGGCAAGGAAATTTAGGAGAAAAAGAAGAGAAGATAATGTGATATAGAACCATTACAAAACTACAACAATTGTTAGTATAGGAAAAGAAAACTAGGCAATGGAGCAGAACAAAAGCCCAGAAACAAATCACACACGTGCACAACTGACTTACTACAAAGGCAAGACTGCAAAGCATGGGCAACACAGACTTTCTTACTAAATGGTACAATGTCTGCTGAATGTTCTTTGAAAAAAAAAAAAAGAAGTAAAACTCGATCCTCGACTACACAGCATATACAATTAACATGATGTTCCAGATGGATTTGGGGTCTAAAAGAGACTAGAAAAACAATGTCCCTCTAAAATACGAGAAGGGGAAACATCCTTAGAATTTTGAGGTTCAGACTCACAGTATCACAAAATTTTTTCAAATAAAGGGCCAGAAGCAATATCCATAAACACAAGAAATTGATAAATGGAACTATTATCAAGTTAAAAATTTCTGTTCACTAAAGGATACCAAGAAGAATATGAAGGTAAGCCACCTTCATATTCTTCTTGGTATCCTTTAGTGAACAGAATGTGGAGATATCTTTTAGTGAACAGAATGTGGAGATATCTTTTAGTGAATAGAATGTGGAGATACCAGAAATACACATAGGCAAAGAAGGGACTGTAATACAGAGATAACACTTTCCAATGAGTGTAATCTTTTTAAAAAAAAAATAAGCAACCCAATAGGAAAATGGGCAGGATAAAGAGATGCTCAACCTCACTATTTATGAAGGAAACAAAATTTAAAACTATAATGAGATTCAGGAACATCGCCACTAGGATATCTAAAAGATACACAATGCAAGTGCTGGTCAGGATGGGGAGAAACAGCCACACTCATTCTATCCTAGTGGATTCTTTATTATAAAAATGAGAATAATCTCTTTGAAACTCAGTTGGCATCAACTATTACAATGGAACATTTGAATATCTTCCAATCTATATATTCTATTCCTATGTATTTACCCAACTGAATATGTGACAAGGAACGTATTCCAAGGGTGGCATAATTTGTAATGTCCCAAAATGGAATAAACTGAAATGCGCATCAATAATAGAACCAATAGATTGTGATATCGGGCAGGGGTGTAGCTCAAAGGAGGATTGTGTGCTTGTTAGCATGCATGAAGTCTTGGATTTGATTCCCAATATCACATGATAAACAAATAAATATGTTATCTTCATAAATGAAACACTCAATAACACTGAAGATGAATGAACTAAACTACATATAAACATACAACATAAAGTCACAACTATACTTTTGAATGAAAGAAATCAGCCATAAGTTATACAGTGCAATACAATACACAAACACACATACAATTTGATATCTACAAAAAGTAAAAAAGCAGACAAACTGTTCTGTGGTCGAGTTCCCTTAAGGAAGGAGGAAAAGATAGTCACTGCCGGGAGCTCTGGGTAGAGCTGACCAAGATGTATTTCTTGGCCTAAGTAGCATTTGCATAGGGCTTGCTCTGTAGTGCCCCATTGATAGTGTGCATTTATGGCTTGTGCATGCTTCTGCTTGTGTTACACTTTAGTGAAAGGCTCAGTGAAAAATTAATCAAAAGAGGAAGGAACAGATGTAACAAGGGATGAGCTGTCATAGACAAGAACAGAAAAGAGCTATCAAACTCCAGGTACTCATTGTTCCTTGAGAGGTTGTAAATTGAAATTTTAAAGCTCTTGGGAAGCTCCAAGCTACTGCTTTTTTATTTTCCACAGATTAAGCAGATTAATAGAGCATTCTTCTCTGACTTTCTTGGGTAATAAAGTTTTCACAGCCTGTTAATTTTGCCTATAAAAATTCTGCCTTGTGGACACACCCAACATCTTTGGGAACCACATTTAATCAAAGCATAAAGTGGTTTTCGAAGAGCCATCCTGTGCAAAGAATTTGTCTGTGGATATGTTATCGATGAACTTAAAAGTTCAAGAGGTTGGGGCTGGGGATTTAGCTCAGTGGCATAAGCGCCTGCCTTGCAAGCAGGCATTCGTGAGTTTGATCCCTGGTATCCATAAAAAGGAAAAGACCAAAAAAAAAAAAGTTCAAGAGGTTATTCTTTTGGATATTGTGATATTAGAACTGATGACAATCATGAAAAACATCAGGCTGATAGAAGGAACAAATGTAGATCAACTCTTGAATTTCTTACTTTTTTATTATTTTGAAATAACATTCCCATCTTGCACACATAAACACAAGAGTAATGATTTGTTTTAAAAAAAACAATGTATCAACAATCACAGAGCTAACAATGATGCTAATGATCTTAGCATTGTATATATGTAGCAATTTGGGAGGAGACTAGATTCAATAAATTTGAGGAAATTTTGTTGGGCAAGCTGCTGTCAACTTCCAATAACAGAAAATTCTAAAGCCTCAAAATTTTGCAGCAGAAGAAAGCAAAAATCCATACCTCAGTCACTGCTATAGAAAAGCTGAAGCTGGGAAGTGTGGTGAGTAATACGCACATCATCAGAACGGGTCTCCTAGCAGGGAAGAGAAAATAAGCAAAAGCAGTAATGTACAAGATCAAGAGTTCCTGTTATATTTTGCTAATTTTGCAGTTACTGTTCCATTCATGTATAGTTTTTTTAAGAACCCAACTGCTTCCCTATTTCTATTTCCCAAATGTTTGAGTATGGCAAAGAGGAACACATGCAAAAATCAGCATTGTTTTCTTGAACAAAAGGGTGAGAGACTACTAACGCATCAAAGCACAAATTAAATAACATTTAACATTTCCACATTTATTACTTAGAATCCTACTCATGAGTCAGATCTAGTGAGCAACTGAAAAAAGAAATATGTCTTTATCAAGCTAGAGTATATCCATGTTGTAAAATTGATTTTCTAAAAGTATATTTAGAACTAGGCATAATAGCACATGCTTTCAATTTCAGCACCGAGGGAGGCTGAGACAGAAGGCTTGCAAGTTCAAGATCCCCCCTGTACAGCTTACAAGACTCTGTCTTAAAATGAAAAATACAAAAAGGGCTGAGAGTGTAGATCAGTGGTAGAATGTCCTTGATGCGTAGTACCAAAGAAAATACAAAAGAAAGATTAAGAGATGATAGACTATTAAAGATCACTTAAAATAAGAACATTTGGACACTTTTCTGGAACCAAAAAATCATGTATATAAAAAGGCATAATTTTAACTGATTTTTAGACCACTTATATAATCAAATAGTGATTAAATTATGATATGATATAGTGGTACTATATGACAGAGAAGATAGGATATTTAGCTTCATTCATGAATGGAAGACAACAGATGTGTAAAGGTTTTCTACAAGGAGATATTTACCTTTTCTTTAATTAAATATATTATTTTAAAACTTTTTTGTATTTTAATGTAATACAAGTGGACATTAATAAAGAAAATGTAAGCAAGCACTCTTCTGTGAAAAAATAAAACAAAGTTTTATAACAAAATAGACTAACAATAATTAATACAGTGTACTATAATCCTGAAAGAAAAGCCAAAATGTTACTCACAGTACAAGTCATAGACAAAAAAAGAATATCTCTTACAAAAAAGAAAACAAACAGATAATAACACAGTGTTTTCTTTTCAGTGAACTAAAAGAAACTGGTAGTATAAATGAAACAGATTAACATGTATATTGAAATAAAATGAAATAGAAAATTTGAGGAATTATTTGAACATCTCCCCACTTCTTATTTTTCTATCTTGTTTTGCTTTTTACCATGTATATACTTTGAGTTTCTTGTATAATCTGACATTTAAGTTTGTGTGTCTAACTTACTTCACTTAACATTATGGTCTCAAGTACATTCATTTGCCTACAAATGCCTCAAGTTTATCTTTGTGGCAGAGTAGTATTTCATTGTGTATGAACAACATGCTTTCCTTATTCATTCATCTGTTGATGCATATACACAGTTTTCAAGATCTAGCTATTACCAGTTGTGCTACTATAAACATGAGCATACATGTACCCTTTTATATAATGTGTTTCTAAAAACAAAACCATTATTTTCAATTTTTAACAATTTCTCCTAGATTCCTTTAACTCAGGGCTACCTTAGATGCTGCAAATGCAGACATTGGTTAACAGAGGTTGATTGGTCTTTTCTCTTTCACAAACTTGGTCAATGCCAGCCATGGTGGGATTTAAAACTGGTGGCTTGGATTCTTTGAGACCAGATCCAAGTTCCTGCAACACAAGGCTTCCAAAGGAACATCGCTGAACCACCTACCAGTCTTCTTTTCCTCAACTGGATCTCTAAAAGAGGGATGGCTCCTGGGCCTCCTTTATCTGCATTATCTTCCTGGATTATGTCATCCATTCCCATGGGTTTGAACACACCCACTTCCCCCTGGCTCTCAAATACATGCTGTTCTTGTTCCTGAGCTGTAGCTTTGCACACCCATCTGTGCGCCATCTCCCCGGACAGTAAAGAAGAAATGCAGACTTCACATGTACGAAAGGGAAGTCAAGTTCTCTTCCACACCTCTGACAATCCATCACGTGGTCCATTGCAGATTCTGATTCTTCTTAACACAACAGATCATCCACTATTACTTCTCATCTGTAATATATCAGTACTTCTACTCTGGTGTAGCAATATTTTCTTCATATTACAAAATGGAATCATATTTTTATTTTACTTTTGGGTTTTTATTTTTTAGACAGTGTCTCATTATGCAATACAGGCTGGCCTTGAACTCACAGTGATCCTCCTGCCTCAGCCTTCAAGGTGCTGGGATTATAGATGTGTGTATGCTGGAGTCATATTTTTAAACTGTAAAATACATCTTACTAACCTACTCAAAAATCTTCAACGCTGATGGTCATTGGTGATACCCACCTCTAATCTCAGCTCCTGGGTAACTGAGGAAGGAGAATCAAAAGATTTGAGCCCGCCCTAGACAAATTAGCAATTTAGTGAGACCCTGTCTCAAAATTTAAAAATAAAATACAGAATCAAATAAAATACAAAGAGATAGGGGTGCAGGTCAGTGCAAAATCCTTGAGTTTAATTTCCAGCTACAACAGCAGCAGCAACAGCAACAACATCCTTCAACGCTGGGTGGGGGTGGACTTGGGACATGATTTTAATGCATTCAGAGCTTGGGTTTTGCCGATGATGGACTTTGCAGATGGATGCCAGTGATGAGTGCAGGTCCTTACTGACACCAAACCATACCAAAAAATGGTTAAGGTCATAATTTTATGTTATGTTCATTTTACTACAATTTTTTAAAAAATCCAATGGATATGCAATGTGATTAGAATAAAACTAAAACTTATTATTCCAGCACACATGTTCTACAGTTATCCTTCTTTTCCTCATACTTAACTCCAGAAACACCGGTCTTTTGTTATTTTGTCTTCCCATCAACCTGGTCCATCTCAGTCTTATATTGTCTGTTCCCTTCACTGGGGTTCTGTCTGGTCATTTGTCTCTATAGATACATAGACATTAGAGGAGATTCTGGTGAAGCTCAGAAAGGAAAGGAAAGAGCTAGAGAGAAAAGTTTTGTCTCTTGGAAAATAGATATCTTATAATGGACAGAATGCTGTTAGGAATATGAATGTTAAAGATACTTCTGGTGGGGGCTGGGGATTTAGCTCAGCGGCATAAGCGCCTGCCTTGCAAGCAGGTGGTTATGAGTTCGATCCCCATTATGGTTAAAAAAAAAAAAAAAAAAGATACTTCTGGTGGTTTAAGATGGAAAAGAAGACGAATGTTTTTGAAAATGGATCCTATTTATAAAAAGACAGAAAAGACCGAATTGTGCTCTATCAGGTAGAGCAGGAACCTGGAAACAATGAACTCAGATATGGAACTGAGTGTTCCTAAGCAAGTATGGAGACATGGTCCGTTTTCTATTTGTTACAAAAATGTGAGGGTAGAGATAAATTGAAGAAGGAATTGTTTAGCAAAAAAGAAACTAGAACTTTACTGTTCACTAAAATTTAGCCTATCCATAATGCAAAATGGAACAAAATAGACTTAGAAAAGAAAACTCAGATTGTGTCTCATGGATCCAAGCAACCACCTCACCCAGCCTATTGCTGGCTTTGGAGAGAGAGAGGCAATAGAGAATGGGATGGAGTGGGACCCTTGGGCTTCCTGGGCTCCGGTGAGGAAAGCTGCTGGGAGAGCTATTTGGATGCAAATCCATTATAGAAAAGGAAAGAAAAACTATGCTGATCAAAAGGAGGTACAAATGTGGGTGCTACAACCTTGAGACCAGAGGTTTCCTTCACAAATCAGAGGGTAAGGCCACTAAGTAAGCCAAGGAGTTGGAGCTGCCACCTTAGGGCCTGGACAATAGAAATCCAGACCCAGAGAATTATTCTCAAATCTAAAGACTTCATGAAAATTCCCTCTTAGGTTCTGAACATGTTCTGAGACTCACAGTACCTATTTGTCTCCCAATTTCTCCCTTTGGAAATAGTGGTCTCTCTCCTGCCCCACTATTTTGGATATGGCTTCACAGGTCCATGGATGAACTTCTGACCTTGAGTTGCTGATATTTACACAGGATTGTGAACTTACAATTAATGTTAGAGTGATTAAGAGTTTTGATGTTGGAGTAGACAAATCTGTTTTCCACATGGAAAGAACATAAATGTTGAGGGTCAGCAGGTGAAATCTATGAGTTGTTTTTTTTTCTTCTGAATAGCTATGCTTAAGGTCCAATTCCTGGTACCTCAGAATATACAGTGATTCCATTTATGCTATAAAAATATCATTTGATAGAGGATCAAGTTAAAATGGGGTAAAGTGTACCATAACCCAATGTGGCTAGTGTCTTTTAAAAATGGAGAAATTGGAATCAGACATACACAGATAGAAGACTATGAAGACACACAGCAAGAAATCATGGGAACATGGTGGCAGCTATGACGATGAGGTGTTGCAGTGCCACGGAAGGCCAAGGACGGACCTTGAACCAGCAGAAGCCAGGAAGAAGACAAAGAATGGGTTCTCTCTATGTCCTTCAGAAGGGACAAACCTTCTAGCACCTTGATCTCAAATTTCTATCCTCCAGATTTGCGGATGATATATTTCTTTTCTCTTTTTCTTCTTTTTTAAAATTTTATTTTAAAGGGGGTAAAATTAAACACAACAAAACAGAACAAAATAGGACATAAGAACGCAATGTAAGAGATACAAATTTCAAAGCTAGATGACCTGAGATCACTGTCTATCATATTGTCTCTTGTTTTCTTCCAAATAGTTGTCCATGTCTTTGCATACAGAGAATTCATACAAAACAACATAGTATGAAACTGATCTGAACAGAATGAGGAAGGCAATTTAGGTCTTTAAGACTAGACAACAGGGAAGTCACCAATGGCTGTCGTAGAAATTCTTGTTCTCTTCAAAATAGCTGTCCATACTTTCATGTATATTGAAGTTCAACAAAACAAAACAGGCAGGAGAGGAGGGGTTGCTTGGTTTCCTGGTGCTCCAGTTCCCAGCATGGTGCAGGTCCCAGTAAGTA